GACTCCGATCACTCCCGCACCTAATCTTCAAGGTGTAGGAGTGACGACGGCGATTCCCGGAGGAGATGCCAGCTCCAGTCGGGCCCAGGAGGCTCGTGTAGCAGCAGCAGCAGTGATGCCACTACCACCACCACCAGATCCAACACAAGGGCAGGGAGGAGTGCTGGCGCAAGGAGGAGTGCCACCACAGGCAGCCATACAAGCCCCCGGGCAACAAATGGTGACAATGACCCGAGAGGAGATGCAGAGGATAGCGGCGGCCGCGGTGGCGCAGGCGGTGCAGCAAGTTGCGAGTCATACATCTCATGCCACCACTGCACCGACCACGGTGGCTGGAAGCCAGGATGAGGATGTGTCTAGTTATGGAGAAGGGGGAGCTGGAAGAGATCGGGCAATGGAGAGGATGGCGGAGCAGCTGCGCCAGCTGCAAGACAAGGTAGAGGGGAGGCCAGAGAGGAAAGCTCGAGGACATCCCTTTTCAAGGGAGATTCTCACTGCTCCTTTGCCAAACAATTTCAAGGAGACCAACTTGGTGTATGACGGGTCATCTGACCCATCGAGGCATGTGAGGACCTTTGAAAATATGGTTGTGTTGCATGGGTACTCTGATTCTGTTTGTTGCAGGGCATTTTTATCGACCTTGCGTGGGGGAGCACTCGATTGGTTTCATCAACTTCCACCTGGGTCGATCGCGAGCTTTGAGGACTTTACTGGCAAGCTTATCAATCAATATTCGAGCGCAGTGGTGCAAGAGAAAACGTATTTGACTTTGATGGCGATGAGGCAGGGGGAGAAGGAATCATTAAGGAAGTACGTTGCTCGATATAACCAAACATGTTTAGAGGTGCACTCGGCTTCGGACGAGGTGAAGGTGGGTGGATTGATAAGGAGTCTTCGAGCAGGGCCTTGTCGAACTTCCCTAGCAAAAACCCCTGCTCGATCATATGAGGATGTGCTGAAGCGGTGCATGAAGTATATTAACTTGGAGGAGATGGAGATGGAGTTTGCAAAGTTGGAGGAAGTGGCTCGACCAGAGCCAAAAAAGGAAAAAAGTCCGCAGAGGGGGAGATCGTCGAGGAGGAATTCGCCCAAACGGAGTGGGCAGAAGAGGGCATCACCCCGAAGAGAGAATCGAGATTCGAAAAGGGAGAAGAGAGATGAGTGGCAGAGGAGGCCGATGTTGTTCGAGAGACAGAGATACCACACTTTCACGCCCTTGAGGAAAGACATGACGGAGGTCCTCGAGGCCATGGAGCAGAAGATGTCGAGTGAGGATGTGACTTGGCCAAAGACGAAGTTTACAGGCCCAATTCGACCTAGGTCGGATATTTACTGTCGCTTTCACCGAGATTATGGTCACACCACGGAGAATTGCAGACATTTGAAAGATGAGATCGAGAGGCTGATTCGAGCGGGATATTTGAAAGAATTTGTGTATCATGACAGGGTGAAAGGGAAAGGCAGGAGAAGGTGTAGGGAGGATTCGGAAGAAAGGAGTGATAGAGATGAGGAGGGAGATGGCAGAGATGGTCGAGACGGTCGAGGAAAGAAGCCAAGAAGAGATGGCGATAAAGAGAGGCATGGAGGAGAAGCCCCAGTGAAGAGAGGAACAATTTACATTATTTCCGGTGGGCCAACAGATGGAGACTCGAATAGGGCCAGGAAGGAGCATGCTCGAGCTGTGAAGAGGAAGAGAGTGGAGGTAGGGATTACGGCTCGCATGCCGGTCATAAGTTTTAAAGCAGAGGATGCCGAGGGAGTGGTCCTACCGCACAACGACGCTTTGGTGATAACCGCGGAGATTGCAGGCTTCGACGTGAAAAGGGTGTTTATTGATACTGGGAGCTCGGTAGATGTTATGTTCTATGATTGTTTTGTGCAAATTAATAAGGAGCTGAATATGGAGCTGAAACCGGTGACCACGGCACTTTACGGCTTTAATGGGGGAGAAGTTATGCCGATGGGAGAGGTCAATTTGCCCGTGGCATTGGGATCGAGAGAGTTGAGGAAGGTGCGCATGGTGAGATTTGTGGTTATAGGGGCTGAGTCGTCATCATGGGGCGGACGAGCTTGAATGTATTCCAGGCGGTCGTATCCACGTACTACATGACGATCAAATATCCGGTGGGCGAAAACGTAGGAAAGATTGCTGGGGATCAGCTCACTTCGAGAAGTTGCTACCAAACAACAGTCAGCAATAACAAGCAATTGGCGAAGAGGCAGGCCGAGTCGAAGGGGGAGGAGGTTAATCTACCAGGGGGATCGAGGTCGAAAGAGGATAAGCAGAAAGTGGAGAAAGGTAAGGAGAAAATGGATATCCAACCTGGGGAAGAAGTTGAGGAGATTCAAATGATCGAGGGGTGTGAAGGGAGAAAGTTCAGGATCGGAAAGGATCTGGAAGAGCCTATTCGGTCGAGGCTGATCCAGTTGGTTAGGGAGTTTGCTGATATTTTTGCCTATACAGCAGAGGAGTTAACGAGAATAAGTGCGGAGGTGATCAAGCATCGGCTAAACATCGACCTCAGCGTAAGGCCGGTGAAGCAGAAAAGAAGGCACCATGGGGCGAAGATGGACAAGATCATCGAGCAGGAGGTCGAGAAACTGTTGGGAGCACGACATATTAAAGAGATTCAGTTCCCCGAATGGCTGTCGAACACGATGATGGTGTCGAAGGCGGAAGGGAAGTGGAGGATGTGCATTGATTTCCGCGATCTGGACAAAGCATGCCCGAAGGACTTATATCCACTGCCCAGAATTGACCAGCTGGTCGACTCAACGGCAGGGTGCGAGCTGTTGAGCCTGATGGATGACTCCTAGGGATACCATCAGATTCCCTTGGCGAGAGAGGACAGGAAGCGGGTGAGTTTCGTAACGAGTCGAGGGACCTATTGTTACGTGGTCATGCCGTTCGGCCTAAAGAACGCGGGCGCCACGTATCAAAGGTTGGTCGATAAAATCTTTAAGGAACAATTGGGGAGGAACATGGAGGTGTATGTGGATGATATTTTGGTGAAAAGTAAGGAGGAGTTAGATCACGTGCGAGACTTGAAAGAAACATTCCTAACATTACGGAGGTATGGGATGAAGCTGAATCCTGCTAAATGCTCTTTTGGGGTGAGGTCAGGAAAATTCTTGGGTTACTTGGTGACCAAGAGAGGTATTGAAGTCAATCCGGAGAAGGTTCGAGCTGTGATGGAGATGAAGTCGCCGATGAATGTTAAAGAGCTGCAGATCTTAGCTGGTCGAATTGCGGGGCTGAGTCGTTTCATATCGAAGGTGGCGGAGAAGAGCGACCCATTATTCAAAATGTTGAAGAAGAGTGCGAAATTCCAATGGACGGAGGAGGCACAGAAGGCATTCGAGGAGTTGCGAGGGGTGCTGGCTAACCTTCCATTATTGGCTAAACCCATACAGGGCGAAGAGTTGGTGCTATACATTTCTATTGGAGAGAGGGCTGTGAGTTCGATGTTGTTACGGTAGGAAGGAATGGCGCAATTTCCTATCTACTATGTGAGTAAAGTGATGCAGGGGGCCGGGACGAGGTATTCGGAGATCGAGAAGTGTGCTTTAGCTGTGGTTGTAACTGCTCGAAAGTTAAGACCTTATTTCTTGAAACATAAGGTGAAGGTGCGAACAAATATGCTGCTGGGAGAAACACTTGGTCGACCATCAGTCTCTGGTCGATTGGTGAAGTGGGCGGTCGAATTGAGTGAGTATTCTTTGATGTACGAGCCAAGGAGGGCCATAAAGGCACAGGTGTTGGCTGATTTTATCCAGGAAGGCACGAAAGTCGAGGAGGAGTCAGAGGGATTATCGCAGTTGTTTGTGGATGGATCTGTGGCTCGAAGCGGGGCAGGAATGGGAATTGTCCTTGTCTCTCCCAAAGGCGATTACTTGGAATTTACGGCTAAAGTGGGGTTCAAGATATCCAATAACGAAGCTGAGTATGAGGCAGTGATTAAGGGCTTGAGTCTAGCCAAAGCAGGAGGAGCTCGAAAATTACAAGTGCATTCCGATTCTCAACTGGTGGCTGGACAGTTTCAAGAAGGGTTTGAAGTCAAGGAGGATCGAATGCAAAAATATGTGGATGAGATGAAGAAGTTGAGAGAGGAGTTTGATTCGTTCGAACTAATACAAATTCCTCGAGGAGAGAATGGTCGAGTAGACCTATTGTTGAAGATTGCTCAGAGCTTGGTTGATTGCAAGAGTAGAAGTGTCACTCTGTTGCATCTTGAAAAGAGTGTGATCGAAGCAGAAGTGGCGGAGATCGAAGAAGTGGAGGATTGGAGGGCCCCGATCTTGGAGAAGATGAGAGGAGGAGCGATAAAGGTGGTTAGGAGGTTTTTTGAGCATGGAGGCATTCTTTACAAACGATCATATGGAGGACCACATTTGCGTTGTGTTACTAAGGAATAAGGTCGATACGTGCTAAGAGAGATGCACGAAGGGTGTTGCAGTGACCATAGTAAGTCAGGGGCCTTGGTCGCGAAGATTTTGAGGGCAGGATATTTTTGGCCGACGATTAGAGAAGATGCAAAGACGACGGTGAAGAAGTGCTTGCAATGCCAAAAGCATGGCCCTCTTATCCACCAACCGGCCGAAGCCATGACAACGATGAGTGCTCCTATACCATTCACCCAGTGGGGTATCGACCTGGTGAGGCCGATGCCTCAGGGGACCGGGCAAAGGAAGTTCTTAATAGTGGCGGTCGATTATTTCACGAAATGGGTGGAGGCCGAGCCCTTAGCGAAGATTATAGAGGAGAAAGTAATTAAATTCCTATACAATAACACTTGCTGCCGGTTTGGTGTACCCAAAGTGTTGATTTCCGACAACGGCACTCAGTTCAATGGGAAGCGGATTCGAGCATGGTGTGAAATATGAAAATCGAACAACACTTTGCCTCTGTGGCGCATCCGCAAGCTAACGGCCAGGTCGAGGTAACCAATCGAATTATACTGAATGGGCTGAAGACAAAATTGGAGAAGGCCTCGGGAGCATGGGTTGATGAGCTCAGCTCCGTACTTTGGGCGTATCGCACAACTCCAAGGTCGACCACAGGAGAAACCCCGTTCGGTTTAGCTTATGGAATGGAAGCATTGCTTCCGGTCGAGATCGAGTTATCTTCCCAGAGGTCGAGCACGTATAATGCTGAACAGAACGAGGATCTGATGATGGTGGCCTTAGATACTATCGAGGAGCTGAGTGGGAGAGCAGCAATCAGGGTGGAGGCGTACAAGCAGAGGATGCGAGCCGCTCATGACAAAAAGGTAAAAATTCACAGACTCCAGGTCGGTGACCTGGTTTGGAAGCGTGTCGATTTACTCAAGCATGTGGGAAAGCTGGAGCCAAATTGGGAAGGGCCATATCTGGTCGAGCGAGTGCACGCAGGAGGAGCGTACTCACTCAAGGATGCCGAAGGCCGATCACTTGCCAGGTCATGAAACATAGCTAATCTGAAAAAATATTATGTCTGAAAATTTTTGTTTTTTTTAGGAAGCATGGGAAGCTCGAACAATGATGTAGATTGCAATGTTTGTTAAAAGTCAATGAAATTCAGTGATTTTTCCGATTTTACCCGCTTTATCGTACATTTTCTTATGCTTGGAATGTTGGCATAATTTGGATGACAGGATATATGTAGTATAGTCTGACTTGGAGGTCGCTTATTTAGAACATTCCTTGGGGTGGGCAGGCTGGTCGAAGACCTCCTGTTTAGAACATTCCTCGGGGTGGGCAAGTGTGAAGACCAAAATCCACCATGACTAAGGCCCTCGGGCTGGATGGTCGCTTGTTTAGAACATTCCTTGGTGTGGGCAGGCTGGTCGAAGACCTTCTGTTTAGAACATTCCTCGGGGTGGGCAAGTGCGAAGACCAAAACCCACCATGACTAAGGCCCCCGGGCTTGGTGGTCGCTTGTTTAGAACATTCCTTGGGGTGGGCAGGTTGGTCGAAGACCTCCTGTTTAGAACATTCCTCGGGGTAGGCAAGTGCGAAGACCAAAACCCACCATGACTAAGGCCCTCGGGCTGGGTGGTCGCTTGTTTAGAACATTCCTTGGGGTAGGAAGGCTGGTCGAAGACCTCCTGTTTAGAACATTCCTCGGGGTGGGCAAGTGTGAAGATCAAAATCCACCATGACTAAGGCCCTCGGGCTGGGTGGTCGCTTGTTTAGAACATTCCTTATGGTGGGCAGGCTGGTCGAAGACCTCCTGTTTAGAACATTCCTCGGGGTGGCAACACAAAACCCAGAATGAAGACCATGTAAC